TCCGTACTGTTTCTGTTAGTGACAATGAAATAGTAATAGTTCTTAGTTGATTTTTTATTTTTTAAAGACAAATAAATTTGCTGTTTTAAAAGGTGGAAGTCTAACTTGTGTTTGTCGTCAATGTGATTAAGTCGTTAAATTGTACATTACATTACAAAAAGCTTCTTGTTGGGGAATATACTGTATTTAAGAGAGTAGTAATCGTGTTCTTCCATGTTTTATGAACACTGTCACCAGTGTGAAGCCTCAGCTTGTTGTAAGACCAGTAATCCCCCCCAGAAATTGAGGAAGCATTGACATAAGCACTGACTTGGGCTTCTAGGCCATGAGAGTAACAAAGTTGTTAAAATTGTGAAAGTTTCTGACAATAGTTGTTAATAGATTATCCTTCAGATAAGCCATTTATTTTCTGCTGTCTTATTTATTGCAAAGGTGAAAAAATGATGTACCGAAAATATGACATATTAATACTCCTATGACTCCAACATCTGGAAGCGTGTTTTGGTTAGGGGACCTTAATTACATTTATTCATTTAGCTGACGCTAAAGGCAGGCGTCTTATCCATTGCGCCATCACCACCCCAAAAGAGCTGATCATTTACCTGACGCTTTTATCCAAAGCAACTTACAACTGCTATACATGTCGGAGGTCGCACACCTCTGGAGCAACTAGGGGTTAAGTGTCTTGCTCAAGGACACATTGGTGGATAGGTCACAGTGGGGGATTGAACCTGGGTCTCTCACACCAAAGGCATAGTCTTATCCATTGCACCTTTCTCACAGCAGAAATTCTGATATGTGTTGGCAGGTAAGGCACAAGTGTATTTAATAACAGTGAAGTAGTGATGGCTGCATTTAATTTGACAAGGTCTATCACATAAAATAGCCTTTGGGAACTGTTTGACCACCATCAGAATCAGAAACTAATAAATGCCTTAGGACAGACCTTTTTTAAAACTATTTGGTGTAGTCAGACATTATGTCAAATGTATTAGGCAATTTTGGCTCAAATGTTGAGTGTCTATGGGATCAAATAATATAATCATGATCCCATAGGCATCCAGGAATTGAGGGAAACTTGACAAGTAAAAGATGTTACTAAAGTACGCTTTGTCTGAGGGGAGGCCCGCAGTCTCAGACTTTGAAAAAGCCCTGATCTATGCTATTGTGTATGCACACTGGAACAGTTTACTGGTCCACTTGAAGGTGTCAAATGGTGACTGGTGAACAAGGTCTGTTGGTGCGTTTGACCCTTTCATTAGGCCCAGTCAGTTGTGGGTAACAAATGCAGAAAAATAAGCAGTATGTGTAAATAACTATTTGCTTACAGGTGCAACAAAGCTAAAAGGAGAGTCAGGGAAATGTAAACATGTAGCCACAGCCCACACAGTCCTGAGGAAAGGTCTAATCGGGTACAATAATTAAAATCACCTGTGTGGGTTGACTACAGCACATATAGAGCATTTTAAAGACTATTCTCTTCTCCATGCACCTTGGAGGTAGGTGAAGTTGTGCTACAAAGCCCTTCTCTGCTTCAAAACCATAGACTGTATATAGTAAGTTCAAATGTTAAGCCATGCTAAGTCTGACTCCCTCCAGTTTATAGATTTTACATTCTAGGACAGTTTCAGTGAATAACAACATCAACTTTAACTAGCAACTTATGAAAACGACTCTTAACATAACAAGTACAAATTAGATATATCAGAGGCTCCTGAACTTTATATAATTTCAGATGTGTTAATGTGTAGCCTATTTCATAGTGTTGCTAACTCTGTGTGAATATTTTACCGTTGCTAAGCAACATGGAAATCTGTTAACGGTCGGTGGAACGTTAGCTAACTGTCAACTGCAAACCGAGAAACCGTCTTCTTGCTGTTTATGATTTATTTTGCACCAACGCTTACAAACTGAATGTCGAGCATGTTGAGAACACGATTGTTAAATGATTAAACAGGTAACGCTAAATGTTTTTATTTATTAATGCTAGCTAACATTATTAATTAAAACAATCGAACCCAAGTAAATTAAATCTGTCCTCACGATAGATATGATCGACGCCCGGCAGATTGGAATTCACTGAAATATACAACTTCAGGTAAGTAACGTTAGCCTATATCTATATAACGAAGTCTAAGTCAAGTTACCCAAATAAACACTTAGCCTAAATTAACCTCCTTCAAGACAGTGGTGGACGAGGTAAGTATTCAAATCCTTTACTTAACTAAAATTTGGCTAACCACACTGTAAAAGACCTGCATTGAAAAACTATGTAGCCTAAGTATAATCAGGGAAATGCACTTAAAGTATGTTAACGTTATACACAATGCCTTGTGACTGTTATACTATTATAGTCCTACATTATAAGATTATAATTTGCCATGCATTAATGTAAAGCCGGATTGTAGCTAACATTAGTTGGTGGAGCTATTTGAATTATTTTGTATAGGAAGGCTACAAGTAATATTTTTCAGGATTAATCTGCTGATTATTTTCTCCATTAATCAAGTGAATGCTTTTGTAAGTTTTCTGAAAATAGTGTGAAATTCCGTCACAATTAGGCTACACAGAGCCCATAGTGAACAGTCCAAACCTCAACATTATTACAAATACATTAAAATTATTAAAAGGCAAATATGCACATATGAAGCTTTAACCATGACTTATTTGACATGAAAAATTATTGTGAATAAATTTTCTGTCAGTCATCTAATCCTTTCAGCTGTACTTGTATCAACTGTTGGGAAGTTACATTTGTAACAAAATATGATATTTTATAAATGAGTGAACTAAAGCTGTCAGATAAATTAAGTAAGTAAAATATTTCCCTCTGAAATGCAGGTCTTGAGTTGCCAACCCAGTTCAGTGGAGGTGAATAGAAGTGTGGTGATGCTGAGAGCAGAGTGTGTGTGAGATAGATTGAGATGAGAGAGAACCTATCCTCATAAAATACTTACACGAGAGAGGTCTCATTGAGATTCTCACTTGAATAAATGTTTTTTGTATATATAATTTGAGCATAACAAAAGCCAGAGTTTTAATTTTCATATTACAATAGCAAAATGATTCAGTGGAGTAGTATCCCACTAAGAAGTCCTGCACATTACAAGTGACTGGTGGTCTCTCTGGGTTCTCTCTAGCCACTTATCGTGCCGCAGGTGTCCAAGCTGAGCAAAATCTAGTCCCTCATCTGCAAAGGTTTGGCAGCACTGACAACATTGCAGCCCTAATTGACTTGGATGGAACCCACAGAGGTGAGGGTTCTGGCCCTGGGGGGACGAGGACGCTTGGAACAGGGCAGCTGCAGTCTAGCCTGAAATATGGCAGTGATAACTATTCTATTAGCGCTACTTCAGGCTCAGCAGGAGCCTCTGGACAGCCCCCTGGCTCTAAGAGCAATACAATTGACCATATGCAGCGATCAGGCTTTGATGCTATACTCCATGAGATCCAAGAGCTTCAGGAAAACCAAGGCCGACTTGAAGAACGCTTTGAAAACTTGAAATCCTACCACCAAGAGTACACAGTAGTTGTGGAGGCCCTAGAAGAGGAACGATACAGGTAGCATGCTAACTTTAGTACTCTGTCAGGGTGAAAGGAACCAGTCCTGTTTGTGATATACTGTTGTATCGTTATACTTTGCAGGTGTGAACGTTTAGAAGAACAACTCAATGACTTGACAGAACTGCACCAGAATGAAATTTTGAACTTGAAAGAGGAACTGGCCAGCATGGATGAGAAGATTGCTTATCAGTCTTTTGATAGAGCAACGGACATTCATGTAAGCTTCACTAGTATAAGTCTTTCTCACAGCAGACATTTTGACATAACAAGAAAGGCACAGGGGTTACTAATAACTAATCGCTGCGTTCCATACAGATGAGGCAATCCAGTGTGATTACAGGCTTACTGGAATGAATAATTGTTAATTGATATTTATTACACTTGTGCTTTTCCTGCCGTAACCACACAACCTCAGGTTCCCCTTAAAGCTCCATGCTTGATGTGTGCCAGCTGGATTTTGGTTGTGTGATTGAAAATGTGGTTTGGAAAATGCACCACTGAAGCACAATATCCACTGTCATAAGGGCATTTCTCTTGGGTTGTGCTTTATTACCAGTTGTTGAGGCATGTGTCTTGAAAATGGTATCCTGGGTCAATCTAGTAGTGTTTAATCATTACCACCAGGTAGTATCCCAGTGTAGAAACACTACACAGAGTAGGAGTAACAAGGACACAGAAGCTTGGGTTTACCCTGTAGCAGGATTATTTCTGCCATGGAAAATAAAATGAGGTGCTGTATGTGTGTAATTCCTGATTACTCATTTAAGCACCTTCACTGACAGTTTTGTCTTTGACCTGTAGGAGGTGCTAGAGGCATATCAGACACATCTGTTCAAGATAGAGCAGCAGCAACAGCAGGAGGTGCAGCTTGAAGGTTTGGAGAAATTCACAGCACAGACTCTGCTTGGAAAACTCATCAGTGTGCTGCTAGCTATCATGGCTGTCCTCTTGGTGTTTGTGTCCATCTGTGTTGTCCCCTTGATGAAAACATACAGCCACATGCTTACTATGCTGCTTTTTGTGCTCTTATGCTGCTTCCTCTGGAGGCACTGGGATGCCCTTTTAGAGTATCTGCATTACTCTGTCTGCACTCATCACCCTGAAAAGAAATAAAGTTGTCTGGACTCAAACAGCATTTTCATCTTTAGTAACATCTTCTCCTTAAAGCATGTGAGGACCCATGTGTGTAACCATTCCTCTCAGTGAATAATGGAAGTTTAATGTTGTCATACCTTTTGAACTTTCTAAAATGGTCCCGTTTGCCTCATGTTAGTGACTGAAAAGTTGTCATAGGCCCACTTATCAGGCCTGTGCTGCAGTAGTGAAAGCTATTGGTCAAGCACCAGTTCTATTCAATTGAAATCCCAATACTGTAGGCCTATATCCTTACAAGCAAAAGACAAGCTCCAAATGCACAGTTTAAAAAGAACAGGAGCTCCAAAAATTAAGATTTTATTGCAAAACAAACAGTATAAAATTAGTTCAAGAATTAAAGTTACTCTGCATCCTTCTTCCCTCGTTTAGTTGCTTTAGAAGCAGGGGCATCACCATTTGCTTTAGCAGCTTTACTCTTGGGCGCCTTATGTGCCTTCTCAGGCTTTTCAGCCTTTGCTGCCTTAGTGGTTTTTGCCGCTTTAGTTTTGGCTGAATCAGAGGCTCCCTCGTCTTCCCCTTTCTCTGCTGCTTTTTTAGCTTTTGGCTTCTTTGCTGGAGCAACCTTTGTTGAAGTAGTAGCCCCTTTGTCTTTCTTTGACTTTTTGGGAGGCTTCGGGTCCTAAAAATGGGGGGGGGGGGGGGGAGAGGCAGAGTTCAACATATTTTCCAGCTTGTTAGTTCTAAATTATTAGAACGGTACTGCTGTAAAGGAGCATGCCCACCTGCCCAAAATAAGTTTCATTTAATCAGTCACTTTTAAAGTCATGAGTTTCAAACAAACCCAAAAGCTATTCTCAGGAATCAAAATGCCAATACATTTTGCCCCCCCCCCAAAAAAAGTACAAGACACAACATAGGCCTACGGTCTAAAACCGTGTGTGTATGTATCTCACATTAGCTGCATGGCAGACCTGTAGGCCATCTTCCCCGGACAAATATATAGAACATGGAGATTTTCATTTGCAGTTCTGTCTGCTATCAGGCCACACCTGCATTGTTTTCCCTTAGAGGCTCACACACACACACACACACCCCCTCTCTCACCTCGTCTGACTTGGCCTGATCTTTGGCAGCATCTTTCTTCTTTGTTCCACCTTTAAGAAAGTACAATCCATTAAAGATACAAATATTAGCCTACTGGTGAGCTGGAAAATGTATAGGCCTACCTGTTTTTTGGGGCTTCTTGGCGCCATCCTTTGCTGCTTTGGGAACCTTTTGAACATTGGGATCGGTGTTCTCAGTTTTTGCATCTTTGACTTTTGGTGCAAGCTTAAGACAGGACAAAAAACCCGATGAACGTAGTTATTAGACCCGCTTTGATAAAGCTATAGTCTTAACTTACCCTGAATTTTCCCATTGCGCCTGTAGTGACACTGGAGTTTGCTGGCCGCACCAATGTGCCAGTCTCGATTCCCTTTTTCAAGGCTCTGCGGACCAAGTGCTTCAACCTCACCAAATCCACCGAGGGGTATTTCTGTTTAATGTAGTTTTGTATGGCTTGGGATGAAACCCCTTTGCGCGAGTCCAACTCTTTAAGTGCTTCTTTCACCATAATCGCTGTGGAGGGGTGAGTTGCAAGTTTGCGCAGAGCCGCAGCATCTACAGAAAAAATAAAAATAAATAAGTGCGCACAAAAGTGACTCCGTTTATACATGCGGAAACAAGGTGATGGGTTTAACATTCAACCGCTTGGGAAAGTTTGATAGTTCTAAAAATGGCCTCAGTCACATTGACATCGTTTGCACTCAGACCTGATTTTTTGTCTTCCACCGCGGCATCACTGGAGGACGACACAGGAGGTTCTGCAGAGTCCGCTGCTGTCTTTTTAGGCGGCATCGCTGATAAACCAATAGAAATAAACAAGACGCTAAAGCTGCTATGTGAAGTCTAAAATTACGGTAGTCTTTGTCTGCAAGTCCAGCGTCTCTGTCTTTATGCAGATGCTTCCAGTAAAATGAGACCAGGTGAATCAAATTGCATCAGGTGCAATTCATTAGGGTCTGTTAATTAAAGGCATCGTGGCGCAAAGCTTTATCCACCGTCTGAAAAACTGTACAAAACAAACAAATAAAAACCACTAAAATAATCAGGCATGATGTGCGCAAAACGCTCGGAGTCAGATGGTTTTCTATTCTTAGAGATCAAATGCAGCTTTGCAGATGGGGTCTCTCTCTCTCTCTATATATATATATATATATATCTATATATATATCTATATAATGTGAAGCCTTCACAGGGGTTTCAGTGTTCTGTGGTCAGCCTTATAAACCGCTGAACTTAATGTAGACACACCCGTGCAGCCTTGCATAGACTGACGTCTTCAAAACAGGCTATTCAGTGATAGTAGGAGGCCTCCATTTGATTAATAGCCTACTTGACCTTGCATTCATTCGTTTTGTCAGTGAAATGTTTCTGAACGTAACACTAGCAGTCTATCTGGGATTACTGTGAATTGTATTTATTTTGATAAATAATTTTCATGCCTTTTTTCTCAATCATAACTGTCAGTTTCATAATACAGCCAAACTTTTATTCACATAAGATGTATTATAAAGAAACAATATTTCCAAATCAGCAATAATACTATTTCCCTACAGTTTTTCCTCTTCACAAGAAAGCAGCAAATATATAGCCCATGACTTATTACTGGCTATTGTCCTTTGAAAAACCTATTGGATAAATTTGACCTGCTTGTTTTTACTCTTCAAGTGTGTCTTTCCCACTGCAACTACACATTTGGTGGTCTTGTAACTCTTCCTGACATGGTATTTGGACTCGTACATCTCACATCTTATGGCTCATTTGCTGTATTCTGCAACACTTCAAGGGTGAACACCTGCAGTTTGTCATCCTTGTGTGTGAGTTAAACCTCTTAAACCAAATTTTTTTTTTTGTGATCAACATTTTTATTGATGTGAATGGGAGGGGTGATAATACAGACATATCCAAGGTCATCCATTACAGCAGTAGAATGAAAAGACATATTACAAGAACATTAAAATCATCTTACAGTAAAATAATTGGGCAGGTTTATAATAAAGTTATTCAGCTACTGACTCTCTTCCAAAAAATTATATTAGATGCTGGTTGAGCCTTAAGTCATGCAGTATTATGTTCCAGACTGACAATGTTGATAAGGCTGTGCACCCAGAACGATTTCATACACACATCAGTGGAAAAACAGTGCTCAAGAATTGTTTTCTTTTCAGAGGTAAACCCTGCAAATACTATTTAATACTGAAATTGCTTCACAGTAACATCAGTTATCATTAATGAGCTAAAAATCAGGATTATGAACATACAGTAAGAGATTTCAAATATATCTGATAAAGCAGAGTTTACATGGTTGCAAAACTTAGCTATAACAGGACAGTTCCAAAACGTGTAGAAACTGTTTGAGGTGAGGTACTGTTGCATATATGACATTCATAGCGTCTGTAATCTCATCTGAAATCTATTATAGGGTGTAGTGTATGCTCTGTGAATGGTTTTAAAGTGAATTAATTAGTGTTCCAGATTATATCAAGATTGGACCACACTCTGTCCTAATCTAGAGTTACATTCAAACTTCCCAGCTCCCCTCAATTTAGAGCAACGATTACAGCTTATAACTCATGGAAGAAATGGGGGAGCTTCGAAAGAAGTAGACTGAGGCTAGAGTCAGTGCATCAAAAACCGCCACACACAGACACGTCCAGGAAATAAGCTACAAGTGTGACCAGAGACAACGTCAGAGGTGTCTTACCTGGGCTATGGAGAAAAAGAACTGGACTGTTGCTCAGTGGTCCAAAGTGCTTTTTTTCAGATGAAAGTAAATTTTCTGGAGGACGAGTGGATTTGTCCACTGTTTTATCAAGTCCAGAGTCATAGCAGGCGTCTACAAGGAGATTTTAGAGCACTTCATGCATCCATCTGCTGACAAGCTTTATGGAGGTGCTGATTTCCTTTTCCAGCAGGACTTGGCGCCTGCCCACATGGCCAAAACGACGAGCAACTGGTTTGCTGATCATGGTGTTACTGTACTTGGTTGGTCAGCCAACTCACCTGACCTGAACCCCAAAGAGAATCTATGTGGTATTGTCAAGAGGACAGTGAGAGACACCAGACTAACAATACAGATGAGCTGAAGGCCTGTATCAAAGCAAACTGGGCTTCTGTAAGACCTCAGCTGTGCCACAGGCTGATTGCCTCCATGCCATGCAGCATTGATGCAGTAGTTCGTGCAAAATGAGCCCTGACCAAGTACTGAGTGTGTAAATGAACCCTTTTCATAACTTTTCAACTTTTCAGAAGGTCTAGATTTCTGTATTATAACTTCTTCATTCTAATATTTTGAAATATGAATTTTTGATTTTCATGAGCTGTAAGCCGTAATCATCAAGATTAAAACAGAACAAGGCCTGAAATATTTCACATTGTGTGTAATTAATCTAGAATATATTGAAGTTTCTCTTTTTGATGTATGGAAAAAATGACAATATTCTCCACAATATTCTAATTTTCTGAGATGGACCTGTATTGTGGACACAGGCGATTTGCCCAATAGTGGTCCAACCCTTTGTTAACATGGGATGTGCTCTTATCTTCTTTTATAGTACTAATAGGCTACGTTTACACTTGTAAGCATCAAATTAAAGCCATCCTACAAATGATTCTAAAGGCACACATTTTTGTTGAGACAATCACATTAAAAATGGATGCTGTCTACATGTTGCTGTCTTCATTTGGAAGTTCCTTGAGTTGGATCTGTAGGGCAATTGCTGTCTGCACAGTGATTTTTTGATACCACCACTGGGGAGCACCAAAATTTAATATTTTCAAATTCTACATGGTGGATTTTAAAGAAACATGGAACTGCTAGGAGGGAAGTTTCAAATCATTAGTAGATCCAAAGGTCCAGTGGTTCCCAATTCCAGAAGCCAAGGCCCTAAGCAGTAATGATAATACATGAAGCTGTTTAAATTTAGACCCCAGTCTCAGGAGAATAATATAAATATTTGCAACTGAAAGCTGTCAGGTGGATTAAACAGAATCTACTATCATTGTGAAAATACACTCATTTTTCAGTAGTAAATGTCATTAAATAGACAACTGCAACTCATGTATACAGTGAATAATTCACAGTCGGTATGCCAAATATTTAATATTAAATTACCCATCACTGTAAATACGTTCACCATGATGATGCTCATACTCTTTAGCCTGTTGACACATTGATAAACAGGTATACTGAGTTATAGGACAAATAACACCAACAAATAAATAAAATAAATAAAAGCTATGATGTGTTAACAAAAGAAGATAAACAGTGTATTTAGGTAGAGGGAATTATTGGGCTTCTGTAAATAACATCATAGAGTATGGTCTAGACCTGCTCTTTTATGAAAAGCGCTGTGAGATAACTGTTGTTGTGATTTGGCGCTATATAAATAAAATTGAATTGAACTGAATAAGCTGCATCACTTTCATGTGTCACTGTAATGTATTAATTCTCACATAAAAGTGTAATTATTTAAATAAGGTAAACTGGTAGAGGCAGGCCAAAAGCCGACAAGATGCAGGACATAACAGTCTCTGGATAAGTTCCACACACACTGGGAGCAGGACAAGAGGGAGTGTCTGAGACGAAGCAGGGACACAGAGCAGGTGTCACTATGCATACAATGCAGACCAGAGGATTGATCCCCAACATGGTTGGGAGTTTCCCCGCTATCTAAAAATCAGTAAGACAAACTAAGCTCCCCCTAGTCTTCATGTGGCTAGTTGTGGTGGATATTTACGCACTAGAGACCGCTAGATCAGGATAGCGAATGGCGAAGCAGCAGCACTCCCGAAACCACGGACATGCTCCTACACTGTTAGAAATTTCTTGTAATTTTACAGGAAATTCCTGGCTAATAGTTGCCGTAAATTTACTGTAAACAGTATACAGGACTGTTATTGTAAAATAACTACGACAAGGTACTGTACTTCCTGTAATTTCACAGGATATAATACTGTAAATATTACAGCAAAATTTTATATTTACGGCAACTCAGTAGCCAGGAATTTCCTGTAATTTTAGGGATTTTCTGTAAGAATAGAATATTGTAAATATTACAATTAAATGTTGTAAATTGGATAAATGTTCTCTTTCAGACTTCTGCAAAGAAAAACAAAAAACTTAGTTTTTTTTAATATATATTTTTATTTTCTCTTAAAAAACAGAGTGCACAATGCACAAACTATTAGTGTACCAAACTGGTTGAACATGAGTTGTCAAACATACTAATGTCCCCAATGTCCCCTGCCCACTAATGTCCTCTAATTTCCCCTGCCCACCAATTCAAAATCCAGCAGTTTCCTCAAAAGTGTGCAAACTGGTGCATTCAGCCCTCGCCTTTTCTCTGCCTTGCTGCCCGTCTGGGGATTTATGCTGCAAAAGGCTCTGAAAACAGGGGGGAAAAACACACTTATCAGGTAACATTTAAGACAGATATGACATGGTCATAACCATGACATGAAACATTAAGGGATTATTCATTCACTTCATTGCAGGTTCACAAATCCTATTCTACAAATCACAAATTAAGAAACTCGTACGCTCACATTTTGTATACGAGTTTCTTAATTTTAATACGTGTTTCTTAATTTAAGTTTCTCGTTTTTATGACAATGCCATGTTTAAATTCACCTCTGAATGAATTCAAGTGTGCTTGCGGCTTCTGCCGGATATTGCAAGTTGAAGACATAGTAGGCAGCGAAGACTGCTGCCAATCCATGCAGGAGGTTGCTGTGGGGCCCCATCACACATGCTCCTTCCATGGACATAACCCACATATCTGCACCGCGCAGTATCTCTCCTGAAACCCATTAACAATATGATAACTAAAAGCTGCACAACACACTATTGCCACCTACATGAATTCATTAATGTTCAAGTGGAGAAAGACTCGCACACCTCCACTTGAACATTATTATCTCCTTTGACCCCCGCACCCTCCATCAACAACTCAAAGAAAGACATTTTTTAGGCGCAACAGTCCTCCCTCAACAACCACATGAATTCATTAAAGAATTTACTTCTACAAAATAAGGGAAGATTATACCTGGTACAACTAATCGAGGTGTGCTTGGCAGAGTGACAGCTCTCTCAATATCAGCAGCCGTAGCAGAGGGCTGGAGAATAAAAACCATAAGTTAACCATGGGTACGTTGAGTAAACAACGACAAAGAAAACTTGCCCCAAGAGCTGTAATGTTCTACTCAACACCAAGGGGGAAATCAGCTTCAATTTATGGTGCCAAATCTAGAAACTACTGCACATGGCAAATATTTATTTTAAATATGGATGCCATGTCAATAAAACAGTAAATTAAAATTATTTTATGAACTATATGGCAGGAAGCAATGGCTAACCCATCAGAGTATAGCCTGGATCAGACCACGGACTCAGCCCACTTCGCTAAGTAGGCTCCGTCTCGGGTCTGCATTCCCCATTCAGAGCAACAAGTACAGCCAGACCGGAAGAATGTTAGCCCAATGACCGCTGGGGGTGGACGGGACTAAACGTGATGAACCAATCAGCCCAGGGCCCATTTTCAAGCAATATCTACCTGTGCGCTGACTGCCTCGGAGAACGGAGAATATAGATTGAGGCAGTTTTAGTAAAAAACAGACGGTTTACTGGAATAACTGCTCTGAAACCAGACCAGTATTCTGCATGGAGAGCTTTTTTAGAAGGGGCAACGTTTTGGAAATGGGAAGTTTTCTTTTGAAAAGGTATCTAAAGCCCTCCAACTTTGTAAACGCTTTGAATGAGACGGGTGTCAGACTGAAGCGCTAGCTTTGGTCTGATACTCAGGCTGTTCAGAGTCTATATAATATTAGAATAACTTGTGCAAAGTGTCCATAGCAAAGGATGGGGCTGGTGACTGATTTCTGGTAATTAACAATTACAAAATAGCAGGACAGAGATGGGAGGGAGAGAGTGAGGGAATGGTTAATTTATGGATATGCACTGCAAGTTATACTCACATCAGCCGTAAGGAAGATACCATCCCCCTCCTTGAAGTGAGCAAGCAGGCACATAATGGTGCAGATAGCTTTGTTGCCACTCTCTTCATCGTAGGCTTCCAGAACCTTCCCCACTCCTGGTGTCTTCTGCTGTTGGAAGTACTCTATGATGTTCTGACTCCTGTTGTCTATGGCAGCTGGCAGCTTCTCCTGGATTGGAATTCCGGTCAGTTCACTGAAATGCGAGAACAGGCCCTTCAAGGAGAAGAGAAAGGGCCAGTCATCCTTAGTTTTTGAGACGCTGTGTGGAGGGTCAGCATTGAGATCACAACGCTGGAGAATGTAGGTTCTCTGAAGCCATCTCTGAAGCGCTCCTCTCTCCATGCCTGACATTCCTTCCTAGGGGTGGGGGGAGTCAAAATTTGGATGCATCAATACTCAAAAATAAAATGTAGGTTTGTGTCTAAGGATGCCTAAATATAATTTCCACTATTCCTACCTGGGCATATAGCTGCTGCATCTGAGTCTTCATCTCTTGTAGGGTTTCATCAGTCTCCCCTGAGGGGAGTTCTTGAGGTGCCCATCGGACACATCCATATTGATCAACGGGACCTCTTCCATTTGTCCTCGCCTGGCGATTTCTGTGCATAGCAGATCAGAGAGAGGGGACATCAGTAACAACAGTAACGACAAGGAAAACAGTAAATTTCCAATCACTACACAGTTAAACACCCCACCAGGACAGGGTCGTGACAAGAACTAGCTGCATCCGACAGAAAGCACTCGAAAAGCTTTGACAAAAAAATAAAAATAAATTGTGTTTCTTTAATCGTTCTCATTTATTTAATTTATTTTTACCACTAAAAACGATTTTTTCAGAATGCTGTTATGACTTTATTTTACCTGAAATTTTGAACTAATAACATTTTTTTATTGCCTGTGTGTGAAGGGGTTGTAATCTGACATTAAAATGAATCGCTCCACATTTGCTTTTTACCATTACATCATTTCCTGCAGGCTTTGACACTTTGACATAACAGTGGTACAGAGAAAAGTAACATGGGTTGCATTAGTTGGTAAAGTAATGTGAAAGCGATATAACTTTGCACCGGACAACATTAGCAACTACTCGGCGTTAGTCGGCGAGCTAACGCTATCTAATTTGAGCCAACTGAAGCACAAAATCTAAATATGTTTTACATGCTTTGTAGTAATGTTAGCTTACCTGTCCAATAGGATGAAAGCCAACTCTGGGTCTGTTTTTATACCCAAAACAAAGAGGAGGTTTCTCCATGATTCAAAAGCCCTGCCTATGTTGATCCGTGTTTTCGTCCGAAGTCGATCCGATTCACATTAGGCCTGACGAGCTTCAGCAGATAAAACTTTTTTTTGTTTTTTTATCCTTATGTGGAGTTTGTGTTGGAGTCTGTGTTGTGCTGGGAGCAGGTCGTTTCTTAGTGTTAGCAGACTCCATGTCATAAGTTGCAGTGTCGTCGCTGCTCAGTGCAAAGTCACTAGACACAGCGAGAGCCTCGGGAGCGCGCATGCAGGTGTCAGTCACTGGATTTCGCGGAAAATCCGACCCGGAGCCTTCAAATAGGAATACTTGCCTTCAGAGTTAATAGCCAAACCCGGCAAGTGAATAATTTTTTAATGTCAGATTACAACCCCTTCACACACAGGCAATAAAAAAAGGATTAATTTTAGTAGAAAAACTACATAAAGCCCCTTTAAATTCCAAAAGAGCAAAAAACAACAACACAGTAGTAGCCCATAATGCTGGTAATTTGAAATAAACTTTAGATTTCAGAGGTGAATGGTCAGGACAAAATGGCAATAGCTGCATGTTCACTCAGAGCTGACCATGAACATTCAGGTGTGAGAAGTTTTGTGAAAAAGCGATGAACTCATTTTATTTTCTGAACCAGTCAACCAACACTGTGTTTAATTTGATCTAAAAATATGTGGATGTCAAGTGGTTGTGTTTCTGTAGTCTGTCAGTGTGATTCAGCTCTGATGCTAGCTGTGGTTTTCCTGAGAGCAAGTTCTGCAAAATGACACTTAAGTAGATGTAGTGAGACACAAGAGTATTTTCTGTGATTCTGAACAACAGTTTCAGTACTCAGCTTCCTCATGGCCGGACGCCTGTTGTTCGTCATCCTCATGTGTAAGTTAAACCTTTTATAGATTTGTTCATTATTAATGTGGATTATTATAAACCAATGCAGGTTCACACTTGCAAACAGGACATTAATATAACAAAAATAATATAGGTTATATCAGACATTATGTATCAGCATATTAAACCACACCACACTATTAATTACTTTTTTATGGCTGGTGATATTATCATATTAATGCAATTATTCAGTTTTGGATTGAACACATGTTTACCCCTACATGTTCAGCTCTTCTTCCACCTAAACTGGTAGTGAATTCACCTGTGATCACAGAGACATCCTCCATCGCCACACACAGTGAGTGAATGTTTCTCCCATTCTTTGATATATTATTGACGAACATATTGTTTTAGTGCAACACAACTCTGTGATGTGAAGTCATATTTCAGTTTTTTTGAAGGGACTGAATAAATAAGAAAAATGATAATTAAACTTACCTTCGAATTTAGTATTTTTACAGTTTTGTCAGTTTGAAGATTTTTCGTTGTCAGATTCCTCTTTATTGATGAGTGTTGTAGCATCCCCGGCTGAATGATGGTCTACGCTTTTACTGATGGTTCACAATGCCTTTATTCAGGGGAAAAGAGGACGATACTGTAGCTCCAAAAACCTGAATACATCTTGAACACACCGTAAAAGCTACGAAAGAAAAAATAAAAATAAAAGCGTTACTCTCCTTTTATATTCCAATCATGAAATATCCCCCTTTTAACCTGTTAGCTTAGTGACAACCTCTGATAAGAGTGCTATAAGTAATCATAATAAACTTAATAATGAAATATTTAATAACAGTATTTTAAGTCACATATGCAGCTTTAACCTTATTTAACCGTATGTTACAGTTACTGTAAAACACTTCTTTACACTGTAATACCAAGCAAACTCTATCGGGATAATTGCCCTGTAAGGCCGATAGAATTGCCTTTATTGAGGTAAAATAGCACACAATAGCATATCTTGCTAGCTTAAACACAATAACATAAAACTCTACAAACAAAAAGATTGATTGCCGTTCACATTTCTTCTCCTTAAGCAGACAAACTTCTACCCGCGGACACACTTTACTATCTACCGTACCGTTTTCTCTTAACCGGCAAGACGCCTTCAAAATAAAAGCCCTGACATTAAAATTTAAAAATAGCGGGCCAAATAATGACCTAACTTCAGAAGATGGTATGAGGTATGATATGAATAAGTATATAAAACAACCACTATTTCAAAGATGCTGAGATTAATAAAGGTAATTTACAAGTGTTAATGTTTCTTACAGTGTAATTTACACTCACCTTATATGACACAAAATTTTTACTTGATAATTGTAAAACATGATGCTTGAGGAGTGACAGTAGGACGTCTGAATGTGAACACTATTGTTTGAAATTGTTGTTACACTGCTACAACATACTTGATAGCAGAATAGCACATTGTATTTAGTGACTTTTCATTCATCTTTTGTAGGCCAAAAACCAGTGTTGAGTCTGAGTCATCATCCTGGTGAACTTGTAATCTTCGCTTGCTCTCTGCCTGGATCTGCTGATAATGATACGAGATGTAACCTGTACTTTGGAGAAGAAAGTCGTCCAGTTGTAACAACAACCATCTGGGGGAAAAGCAACTCAAAAACCAATCAGAAGTTCTGTCCGTTTACTGTCACAATTGATGATTTGCGAAGATATCTACATTCAGTTCAACAAAGCTATTCCACCTGTGATTACAGTTTAGGAGGTGAACCCAACTCCTTGTCTCCTCGTAGTGATGGATACAGACTGAATGGTAAGTCTACAAAGACATGAAAACACATGCTATAATGAGTTCACTGTGTGTAACACAATACTTCCTTTGAATTAATGATTGTATACAATTGAATTCCCTCTGAATGTGTATGTTCAGCTCTCATTTCAATTTTGGTTAATTTTCATGGGTTTCAGATTGAGGGTTAAAGCAGCAGTTAAAATTAAACAAGACAGCGGATGCTTAGGAGGTATAATGTTTATGTGATGGCATACTAACTAGGGCTGTCCCCGACTAAGGATTTACATAGTCGAATCAGAATCGTCAAGTCCTGCCTGTAGTCGACTGATAATCGAATCATGCCTGTTTTTGTGCGCGCCGATTCCGGGGGGGGGGGTTACACGCGGTAGCTCCACTTTAATCTTGAGAACCTGCAGAGCTGCGGTTCTATTTCGTGTTGGCTTTGCCCTCTAAGGCTATCGCTATTGGGTTTACCCCTTCCGCGCACCTGCGCGGCACTGAGAATTTTAGTCTACGCCCACCAAAAGTGTGGGCCTCTCCTACGTCTGCCCCTTGTATATATACAACAGTGAGACCCAGCTTTCGGCTCCCAAATGCCTTTTCTTCAGCACTGAGAACCAAGGTCCAGTGAGGCCTTCAACTTAGAGGGCTGCGCCTATCCTCATAGAATCCGGGTTACAGTACATAACCTCCGTTCTATTTCGTATAGGCTTCAACCTCTAAGGCTATCGCTATAGGGTTAGTGCGAAGCAGGATGAGTCAACGCCTCACTGGCCCATACGTTACCACCAAGCACAACTCACCTCCCCAGAGCCATAATGAGCAACCCAGTCGCCCGCTGACCGCAGCATTGGTGTCGGCGTGTGTGTGATTACCCCCCTAAGGAAACACTCCACCAGGGGGTGGGAGAGCACAGTCCTTTCCCTGGAGCCCTCGCGACAGGACGAAATGGCAGCCCTGTAGGTTTTAACCGTACTGAACGCCAGCCCCCTGTCCATGAGCAACTGGAGGAACTACTGTCGCGGACAGGCGACCGGGTCCGTCCCCTGGTCCAGACACCAGCGTTGGAAAGCCAACCACTTAGAGGAGTGAGAGGACTGAGTGGAGGCCTGGTGGGGGGGCCCTGGTGGAGTGGGCCGCATCGTGAGAGACCTTCACACACAGTCAGAGGGGTCTGTTGGGTGTCCCCCCGTGTGTTGGGGGAGGGACCACACGAGGTAGAATATTCGCCCTTGTGGGTCCCCTTCCGTACCGCATACCCGGTGGGGGGAGGAAGGCAGAGGCAGACATAGTCACCGGGGCACAAGGTGGGGTAGCCACACCCGTGAGCCCGTAACCATGCCTCTCCCCCAACAAGGGGGGGAGGGCAGGGACAGGCAACAGAGGAAATGGTCTGCCTGCGACATCGGAGCCACGCTGCATGAAGGCCGCATGGCCAGCTGCAGCCAGTCCACGCAGTGTGTCGGCAGCCGCTGACTTCGTAGAGACTGTAGGAGAGAGGATGTGCAGCTTTGCAGCAAGCCCAGACTGCTTGTTAGCCATTTGCCTAATTGTGTGTAATGTGTGGAGCGGCGATAGGATAACACTACAGGCAGGGTGGTGTGTAGTGCTATCCTGTCTGCATGAAGTGTAATGACCGCTTCAAGGGCTCATTTGACACAGCCTGGCTTCTGTGAACCAAGGGGGCTACCCCTAGTAGCGCCGAGGTCGGCGTCATCGGAGGTCGGAACAGGGAAAGCGAGGAGCCGTGCGGAGACCCGATATTGGGAAGAGTGGAGCAATCCAACCCTCGCTCTTCCGTCAACAGCAGGGCTTCGTCCAGAGAACGAGTGGACCGCCACACCTCCTCGTCCTGAATGGCAAAGCTAACTGCCCGGCGCCGCCACTCTTTGGGGGGAGAAGGGCGCAGAACGGGCAGTGCGAACTGAGAGTGAGTGCTTGGCCGGCGTCCTACGGTCCGAGGCACGCCTCGCAGCGGGGACAGAGATCACCCAGCACGATGTAGCCCGTGTGGCCGGCTTGCTGGAAAATATAGTTCTTCTTGTTTTCCGGTTGAAAAGTCTTTTTAGACAAATCTTCTGCTCTTTAGACAGCTCAGTGCTGAAGAAAAATGCAAGCTGGGTCTCACTGTTGTATATATACAAGGTGCGGACGTAGAAGAGGCCGACGCTGTGGATGTGTGTAGACTAAAACTCTCAGTTCCGCGCAGGCGCGCGGAAGGGGTAAACCTTGTACCAGTTATTTTCTGGTACAGTAAAGAAGGAGACTTAAAGAGAGGTCACTTAACAAGAGCTTCTTCTGCAGCTGTCGCTTCTATTTGTTGGAGCGCAGTGTGGACGTACACATTTAGGCTCTCAGAGCTTTCCACCGGGCTCAGTGATCGACAGTCTGAACATTTTCCGGTTTCGCCCCCAATTCCGAATAAACTGTCACATGTGGTAAATGGCCTGTATTTGTATAGCACCTTTCTAGTCTTTTCGACTACTCAAAGTGCTTTACACTACATCACATTCACCCACCTATGAGCAGAGACCCAACTGTTTATCAGAAACAGAAATTAACTCATTCACACACTGATGGCTCAGCCACCAGGAGAAATTTTGGGTTCCCAACCTTCCTTTAAGGGGACGACCGTTCTACCCTGAGTCAAAGCCGCCCACTTATGCCACTTCAACACTTCCATAATTAAGGTCTATCTGAAAGTCTGTCTGGTTTACATGTGCATGTGTTTCGTCCACTGCATAGAAATCTGCAGCTACTCTGTGAGCTGGAAAGCTAGCCTACAACAGAACACATGTAGCTGTTTTTTAAGCTGCAATACAGTCATTCTCTGGACACTTATGAATACTTAAGTGTTTATTATTAACTTATGAAGTAACTGTTAGCAGCTATGTTTCTTCTTTTTGAGGAGTTTTACATTATTCTAACTTGTGTATATTAAAGTTAATATTACATGATAATATTGGAAAATGTTGAATATTGTAAAACATTTTCAGTGTTGAGCTACCAGTAAAAATTATTAGAAAACATTCAAATTTTGTCAACTTAGTTTTTGTCACATTATTAACACATTCGGGGGGTGGGAAGATGAAAATTAGAAACTTTATTTTGAGTGGCACCCTAACACACACGTTATGCCTACACATGCACACTGACGAACCCAGAGTTAGGGTTACAATTATTTATTCACGCACTTTTAAAAACATTTATTGAAAGTGTTATTTTTTGTACATGTTTATTTACAGCATTAAACGTTGAAATGTATATTGTAATATGCTGTAGATTAACTTATTGGGAGAAAACTGGTAGTTCTATCGGACCCCCATATTGCCAAAAATTGCATGATCCTTGTTTCGCTCTGATAACATTGGCTAATTACAACTTAATAAGCACAAAGTACAGCTGATCAGTTTTGTAGGAACAAAATTAAAAAATTTGATTTGATGATGGTGCTAGAGGAAATATTTAAATGATCACAAAAGTTATTAGAATTCACCATAAGAAGGAAAGTGCATGCTAACATGCAAACAAGAATGTGAACCAAGTTTCAAGGTAACCAATCCAACAGAAGTCAAAACAGACTCCAAACCAGAAAGGTCAGCCTCATGGTGGTGCTATATGAAAAGTCGGATCACCAAAGTCAGGAAGATACACTGTAGAAAAGCAATAGGATCCACAATAATTATTAATGCTTGTTATGTCCTTGCTGAGGGAGACAGCAGTTTAATATGGACCATAATGTTCTCTTCTGGAAATATTTGACAGCTGAGAGCTATTTGTGTGTAATTCTGAATTTAAGCCATGACTTTTGATAATGCCTGAATGCTTGATTAAATACATCAATCAGCTGTAACATTATGTGCTCCCCAGGTAAGCAAATCACATGCACCCGGCCATCCACGTGATGTAATAGAAAACATGATTCATCTGACCAGGCCACCTTCTTCCTTTGCTCTGTGATCCAGTTCTGATGCTCACATGCCCATTGTCGACAGTGAACAGGGGTCAGCATGGTCACCCTGACTGGTTGACAGCTACGCAGCCCCGTACGCAACAAACTGTGATGCACTGTGTTTTCTGATGCCTTTCTATCAGAACCTGCATTAACCTTTTCAGCAGTTTGACCTACTTGTCTGTTGGATTGGACCACACAGGCAGCTTTTCTCCCCACATGCATCAATAATCCTTGCCCACCCATGACCCTGTCGCTGGTTCACAGCTTTTCCTTCTTTGGACCACTTTGATAAGTACTGACTACTGCAAATCGGGAACACCTCACAAGAGCGGCAGTTTTGGAGATGCTCTGACCCAGTCGTCTAGCCATTACATTTTGGCCCATGTCAAAGTCGCTCAAATTCTCACGCTTGTTCATTTTTCCTCCTTCTACTGCATCAACTTTGAGGACACAATGTTCACTTGCTTCCTAATATATCCCACCCACTGACAGGTGCCATGGTAATGAGATAATCGCTGTTATTCATTTTACCTGTCAGTGGTCATAATGTTATGGCTGATTGGTGCATGCACAAATACAAATTTATTTGTACAACCATAAAATTGACAGGCATAAATCCCTTTCCTTTTCCTGTAGATATTGTGGAAAGTGAATCATTCATGCCCCCCACAAAATCTACAGCCACAGGTAGGACATGCTGTACATCTAAATAGAAATCTAGAACATCATCACATTTCACTAATATAAAATATTGTGTGAATTTCTTCATCAGATTTGCCTGGTGCTTCCACTGTTGTAACTCCTGTAAAACCAGCATCAGGTAACAAAACTATGGATGTGTTAAGTTGAAAGAAAAGAAACAAAGGATTTTCTATTCTATTGCTGCTTACTCAGGTGATAACACAAATACGCTGTCCCACACAGACGTCCACACATAATACTAACAGGTCCAAATCCATCTTCTTTTACTGTAGATATTGTGGAAATAGAGTCACACATGACGCAGACTAAGCCAACATTTACTATGACTACAGGTAGGACGTGCCATACAGTTAAATATAAATATTTTTTAATGTCAGAATATTTTTATTCTGCGCAATGATACATGATTCACATGTTTACATTATTGATCACTGTTTTGTGAAAATAAATGCTCAGGTGCTTTCTTTTTAGTTAATTTGGAAACTGCGTCACACACAACGCAGACTATGTCGACGTTTACCATGACCACAGGTACGACATTATATACAGGTACCATATTTTATATATATAAATAAATCGAATTCCAGAACATTTCTACAAATCGCTTACTATGTTTGTTATTTTTAAAGTTGTAAAAGTGTTTTATTCACAGGTCTGACTGTTAGCAAGTATCATGCTTCCACTCCTACAACTCCTTCAAAACAAACATCAGGTAGCAGACTTAAATTATTGACAAATGATGTGTGGATTAAGCTGTATCTGAATATTTTTCTTCATTTACCAGGTCTGACTGTTAGACCAAGCATCACTGGTAGCTTTATCTCTACGTCCCTGACACCAGTGAAACCCACACCAGGTGATACAACTACTCAGTTTCTCAGTGATTCACACTGACGTTCCATAGTTTGTTAAGAGCACTTTATGTCTTTATTAGATACTGATATAGGAGAATGACGGTGAGAGATGCAACATAGAAAAAATCTAGAAAGTTGTTGCAGTATTCATTTCAATTTTCAGTGACTTCAACAAACAGTGGCTGACAACTACTAATCTCAGTAGTGCATTTTGTGTGACCTTTGCTGTAGAAACTCAATATTACAGGTGATATTATTCAGTACATCAAACCATTGCTGTGAATGTTTTTAATGTTTCTCAATATTTATTTATAGGTCAGACACTTTATAAGCCTAGCTTTACCTCACAAAACCCATCATCAGGTGAGAAAACACTTGTAAAACATATAATTTTTACAAAATGTGCTGACATTATGCAGCCCCTTTGGTTCCTTGAATATAATGAAGTAAGCCATTACTCATTATTACAATAACACCAAATCTCTTTTTCCAAGGATCAATGGGTAGACTCCCATTGAATTAGCAGTCAGAGAAATCAAAGAACCAGATGGACGCTGATTGTTATAAATAAAATATATGTATTCATTAGTAAAGGATTGAGTTGCTACCTATACTGAGAACAAATAGACTGCATTTAGAAGAAAAGATTGCTGTTTAACAATTTCAAGCTAATTTGTTGAACAGCAAAAACGTCCTGTTCTTTCAGTGAGAAAATTACATTGTTAGACTAAGGTAATCAGAGGCAGAGTAGGGTGGGTCATCCCTTCATCAGGATTTGCAAATTCATCTTCCAGCAGCCACATTTTTTTGGATGGGTTTAGGATGGTTAAGTCATGACCCACCCTACTCTGCATCTCATTGGCTAGTACTTGTGCCTTCGTTGGTAGTAGGGTGACCAGATGTGAATTGGTGAAATTTGGGACAGGGGAGTTGGAGATGGGTGTGACCTCCAGGTCATTACATTCAGTGTCAACGAACAGTAAAACTGAAGAAAACACGTGAAAGTCAAAACTCATGCTAAAATGTATTATTTTTGTTAATGAACTCAACCGTCTGTCATTAGGAAAAAACACAATGACTGTGTTGTATGAAACAGTGTGTAAGTCATGATCTTTACATACATTCATTTTATTTAATTCATTTCATCAGTGCATTGCCACATCTGTCTTCGCAGCACACGTATCAGTTCTCTCCACTGTGGTTGCCTGCACCTACACTTCCCCTGTCCTTGTGATTTCCACTTTCGTCATCTACACTTGAAAACAAAAAGGGCAAAAAGAGCACACATGTTACTTAGCAGCAATAGAAAGCTGAACAGCGCCCATCTTTTTGCAACACCCAAAAAAGTTTCACAATGATCAGTATTTAATGCTTTATTAAGCTATAACTAATAAAAACTTAGATTTAGTCTAATTTCAGGACAAACAGGACAGGAGTCTGGACAACTGCTAAAAATTGTGCACTGTCCCAAATTTTTCAAGACATCTTGTCACCCTAGTTGTTGGATTGGCTGGTTCAGGCGAGACTGGTTAGGGTTTGGGTAACAATACCAGGCTAAACTAATCCGATGTAGAGTAGGGAGGTGAATGCCATTTTGTCTGGGCACTCACTCAAAAGTGGCCAGATCCTTAATTATGTGTAACTTTAAGCCTTAAACAGCTGTCATGAAAGGGAAAATTAGAGATATACAAATAATTAGTTAAAAAATCATACATTGTGATTTCTGGATTTTTTTTTAGTTTATGTCTCTCACAGTGGACATGCACCTACGATGACAATTTCAGACCCCTCCATGATTTCTAAGTGGGAGAACTTGCAAAATAGCAGGGTGTTCAAATACTTATTTTCCTCACTGTATATAGCCGCTTAAACACAGAGATTCCGCAATAAACGCGTAAAGAATGTCCACCAATATACCGCATTCGCTCATTCATACTGAACAAAATATTGCGGCGTAATCCTGCAACCATGTGTGCTTTCATGTAGCGCTCCGGCTTTCCAGGTTACCTCCACTGAGTCTGCATATGCCGCAGCTGCTGGAGCTCATCCGGTCAACCAAAATCTTTGTTTTTTGTACCAGGTTACAAACATGTTTATTTCTGCTGTAAAGTTGGACATTAATGTAGCGGTCTCTGGGGACTGACTTACTTTTGGAGCCATCCTCATGCAAGCAGCCAGTCGATGAACTGTAGTTTTTGACACTTTCTTTGGCTTAATTTTTTTTCAACCCTGAGGTTGCCAGGGGAGAAAATTGGCACCGAATTACCAGGGACCCAATGGGGGGAATGCCACAAAAAGCTAGAGCTGATGCTGGAGCACTAATAGGGACTGTAAGACATGTCTTTCCCATGCAAGCAAAATTAAGGTACCAAAAAAGAAACTAAAAGAAAGGGAATGAAAACAAACTGAAGGAAAACAGCTTTTGACAATTTCTTTCTTCATAAAATAGGTGAGCACAACTGACACAGTTTTAGAATGTTTTAAGTCAATATCAGCGGTAGTCAGCTAGGAATCTAGCTTGGAACATATTTGCATTGTATAACAAATTCATCAGCATCCCATCTATCAATATTACCTAGCAAAGCTTAACATCATGAAACACATGGCCCTCAGTTTCAGAAATAGCCACAGAGAGTGGAGCAACAGCAGGTCCCTCATCATCTCCTGATAATGTTATTGAGGACATGAGACAAGGTAAGCTCACATTGTGTCAACTAAAAGTAATTCCAAGGATGAATAAAGACTGGAAGGGGGTCAACAGAGACTGCTTATGTATAGGGCCCAGATCTGCAGTTTTAAAGCCAGCTGTTTTGCATAATAATGATGCTTAACCTGAATTAAATGATTCATCATGTTCACAACTTTATTTACCAGTTAAATTTGCATTAGTTACAAATTAAAAAGTTTTTATATGTGTTGTGCATGCCCTTAAGATCTTCAGTAGAGACTGTTTTGTTAGTATTGAAACTAACACTTGTTTTTTGGCCTCATAAACAGAAACATTTTTATGGAAGTTGATAGCAGTTGCGGCTGGTTTTGGAGTAACTGTGGGTGTGATCTTAATGGGACTGGCACTTCTCTGTACCAAAAGAAGAACTGGTAAGAATTTGATTTACAGTATGTGTCAGGCAGTGTTGGGAAGGTTACTTTGGAAATGTAACACGTTACTGATTACAAGTTACCCTATTTAAAATGTAATAGTGATGTAACTATTTCAGTTACTTTAACAAAGTAATGACACATGTAATTACTTTTGGATTACTTTTCTAAATATCTGATGAATGTTAACCGTTTTCCAAAGACAGCTTGAAAGGCAATTTAATTGGCAGATTGGTGGTGCTGCAGAACCAATCAAAAGCATCAGAAAATCATCAAACTTTCCTAAATATCTGTGCACATGAAAAGCAACAAATTGAATATTATTCCACATATAGCCTAGCTTTTTACAGAAAATATTCAGATGTAACTCAAAATTTAATGATGAACATTTTCACAACTGTAATTTACTTTCCCCAGCAGCTGTAACAGATTATTAGGGCCCGAGCACGACCGTGCGAGGTCCCTATTGAATTTGCTCGGATTATATATATATATATATATATATATATATATATATATTTTTTTTTTCAGCAAAGTAGGCCCAAATGACATGGCCTAAACATACTCGAAAACTCACCAAAATTTGCAAACATGTCAGAACCAGTGAAAAATTTCGTATTCTACAAGTTTCGCACATGGGCGTGGCAAAATGACTCGCTAGCGCCACCTAGAAAATTGGAAATGATTAGCCCCTCGTTCACGTTCAACCTACATGTACGAAATTTTCTGGGGACATGTATCGTATCAAGACGCACAAAAAAGCCTCAAGAACCCATAGCCTAAAGTCAACAGGAAGTCGGCCATTTTGAATTTTATGGCCATTTTTGGATGATTTACACACTTACTTTACGTACTTTAACGAACTCCTCCTAGGGATTTAGTCGGATCGACGTCAAATTTCTGCTGTGCCTTCTAAAGGCATTGACGATGAAAAGTTGTGCTATTTGCGAGTTTTCGTCAATGGGCGTGTCCGTGGCGTCGATGATTCGCAATGAAACAGGAAGTTGTTGTAACTTCAGTGTACATGCTCACATCTGGACCAAACTGTACATGTAGGATGAGAGTCCCGCCCTGAACACATGTACATGCCGACATTCAGCCACAGTCATAGCGCCACCTGCTGGCAACAGAAAGTGACCTTTAACGAAGCAGCCCCCGCCGCACGTTTTACCTACGTGCACGAATTTTCTGTGGTACGTGTATCTTGTCCAGAAGCACAAAAAAGCCTCTTGGAGCGATGCCCTAAAATCAACAGGAAGTCGGCCATTTTGAATTTTACGTCAAATTTTGGATGATTTACACACTTCGTACTTTAACGAACTCCTCCTAGGGATTTAGTCAGACCGACCTCAAATTTGTGCTGTGCCTTCTAAAGGCATTGAAGATGAAAAGTTGTGCTATTTGCAAGTTTTCGTCAATGGGCGTGTCCGTGGCGTGGCGTCAAAGATCAGCTCTTCGCCATGACACGGAAGTTGTCGTAACTTCAGTGTACATGCTCACATCTGGACCAAACTGTACATGTAGAATGAGAGTCCCGCCCTGAACACATGTACATGCTGACATTCACAGACAGTCATAGCGCCACCTGCTGGCAACAGGAAGTGACTTTTAACGAAGCAGCCCCCGCCGCACGTTTTACCTACGTGCACGAATTTTCTGTGGTACGTGTATCTTGTCCAGACGCACAAAAAAGCCTCTTGGAGCGATGCCCTAAAATCAACAGGAAGTAGGCCATTTTGAATTTTACGTCAAATTTTGGATGATTTACACACTTCGTACTTTAACGAACTCCTCCTAGGGATTTAGTCCGACCGACTTCAAATTTGTGCTGTGCCTTCTAAAGGCATTGAAGATGAAAAGTTGTGCTATTTGCGAGTTTTCGTCAATGGGTGTGTCCGTGGCGTGGCGTCAGAGATCAAGTCTTCGCCATGACACAGGAAGTTGTTGTAACTTCAGTGTACATGCTCACATCTGAACCAAACTTTACGTGCTTGATAACTCTCCCACCCGCTATGGAGGACCGATCCTGACACAGTCAGAAATAAATACAGAAATAAATAAATGCTCAATAAATAAATAAGCATCCAATTAAATACACAAAAAAATAAAGTAAATAAATAAATGTAGGTAGTAATTAAATTATACAAGGAGACATAAATGTATATATTTTAATTAGTGCCTTTACTTATTCACCTTTGTTATAATTACCTTATTTGTTTATTCAACTTTATTTATTACAAATTTTTTTAATGTATTTATTTATGTGTGTGTTTTAATATTTTTGTCTGTTTTATTCTTCCTTTGTATTTATTTACCTTATTTATTTTCACCCATGGTATTTATTTCTGCCTGTCTTTTTTAAATTTTTGTATGCATTTCTGCCTCATTATGCAAATGAGGAGGGGCTGTGTCTCAAGGGGTCATCTTCTCTGCTATTGGTGGACCAGTCAGACAGGAGAGCTCCTACTCTGCCTGCAGACATCAACGATCTTGCCCCTCACACAGTCAGATGGCTTCCTTCAGTGCGCTGAGGTGTTTAACAACTCTGAAGACACTACCAGCAATGTCTTCCTTCTCTTTTCACGTAGAAGCACCGACAGACAGTGCTTTCAGTTTGCTGCATGCATGGACACAGAACTGCGGTATAGGGAGAAGCACACGGTCAGCTGGCTGCAGCTAAATCTGGAGTGCACTCGTATTCAATTCTGTATGGTAAATTCAGTTTTAACGGAGCAGAGCGAGCTGACAGGCAGAGTTAGAGACTTTTTCTGTCTGTTTCTCTCTTTACAAAGACGCATGTTGCAATCAGAGTCTTCTCTGAAGAGGGCAATGAAGTCTCAGTAGTACCCGATGCGAGCACCACATACAACACAATTTATCAAATTACACAACGGATATACAGTATGAAAATAAGATTGATTGGATTATACTCACAGGAAGTATAAAACCTGTTACATGCGTAACACAGTAATGTCAGGGAAATTACTTTACTTAGAATTAAGTACTGCAGTTGTACATTTGAAATACCTTCCTAACTTTCTGATAGGAAGCCTTCTTGAGGTGGTATAAAACATTTCTTCTTATATTCTGATTTGAGTTGTGGACAACTATGACCACATGAATTAAAAAAATTAAACATTTCACTGCCCAAGTCAGATATAACACAAGTCTTGTTCATTAGACTACATGCTGTACAGTATTTGTGGACAGATTTTGTCCCAGGATTTATTATGCATTTCTTCTTCTTCGTTGCATGGTTTAGAATAATAAGGTGAGAAATGGGTCTGTTCTGAGTTCATCCTGCACTGCAGCAGCTAATAAAGTCCATTTAATCCCAAAAACGCTTTTCTTTTAGGCAGGCTGGAGCAGAAAACAACTCACCTTTCTCAAGTTGTACAGTAATGTCACATGTGTATGAAGGTGGATCAAACAAGCTAATCTTAAATGTCAAAGTAGAGAGGAGCCTAGTAGGCCTATTTATTTTCATTCATTACACAATATGAATAAGCTATGCAGACAGTTGTAAAGAAAGAACATCTTTTTCTTCTGTTCTCTACTTGTTATAGTTACACAGTATTAGGGGTGTGGGCTGTATTAAAAGTATCCACTGTTCTCCCATGCTCTAACACACAGTAACGATGAAATGTGTGCTGTTCTCACATTCTTCCTCTGTATGTACACATAAACAACAAGGCAGGGAAATATAAAAGGAATTTATTTTATTGTTTGGGTACATTATTGTTCAGTGTACATGCTCACATCTGAAACAAACTTTACGTGCTTGATAACTCTCCCACCCCGCAGACATCTACACGTCAATACCGATTTATATTCATAGCGGCAAGTGCTATGTAGCTCCACATAGGGGACACAGGAAGTGACATATAGCACATTCATGCGGCGTCGGAACCGCGTAGGAAATTCACAGCCGCACCGGCAGAGCTCCAGAATGTGCAACTCGGCCGGCTCACGCGCGGACGCGCTTACAAGTGCGAGGGCCCGCCCAACGCTGCTTGCAGCTTTAATATTCATATTTATTTTGTAATTAAATTACATAACTAAATTACATGTAACTAGTTACTCCAACACTGGTGTCCTGTAAACCTTGAATGCATTTTTGCTTCGTGTTCTTTGTGGGAGGTAGAGCTGAGAGTGTTAGGTCCAATCCCAGTGTCCCCCCTCACAGACTCACAGACTTTGAGGCGCGTTCCCGGGAAGTCTGTGAGGACTTAGGGCTGTCCCACTGTCAAACAGTTAAGTGCGCGAAGGCCCCTTGCACTCAATCACTTTCCAAGTGACGTCAGTAAAGTCTGTGAGGGTTCAGGGCTTAGGGGGGGACATTGGGATTGTCCTTTAATAACCCTTAACTTTAAATCTTTAGCACAACTTCAGTGTCTGAACTACTTCTGTTTTTTGTTTTTCAGAAAGATGTTCTTACAAGAGGTAAGATTTTTTTTTTTAAAACCTAGCAAAAGCTGAGTGACTAAGTATTTTCCACCACAACTCTTTCATACAGAAATTTAGCTTATTCACTTCAAGTAGCTGCCCAGAGCAGCTGGACCCCTTATTCAGCCACAGGGCAGAGCTACTGGGACAGCAGACAGGTACGCGCTGTGTTCCAGACTGCTTGGAAGTTGGAGATTTCATAGTTGAAGTTTCTGACTTCCGACCTCAGTGTTATGTGTGCTAGGTCTGGACTCAAGAGCAAACACCGACTCAAAGGTTTTAGCTAGGGGATTATAATGATTGCTCACTTGTAGCTACAGAAGATCTTGCAAAAAGGGGATGTGGTAGTAGTATGGTTGAAGGAGTAGAGGTAGGCGAGGCAGCGTGAAGTCCAGGACTGGTGGTGGTGGCAGGGAGCGAAGGTGATGCCGACTCCAAAGAACTGGGCACAGAGAGAAAAGGTTGTTAGCACAAGGGTATCCACAATCAACAAGGTTTCCATGGTTCTGCTCGAGGTTTCAGCCTCTAAAAAGGAAGTTTTTCCTTGCCTCTGTCACCTAGTGCTTGCTCTTGGTGGGAACTGCTGGGCTTCTGTAAATAGCATCATAGAGTATGGTCTAGACCTGCTCTTTTATGAAAAGCGCTGTGAGATAACTTGTTGTGATTTGGCGCTATATAAATAAAATTGAATTGAATTGAATTGAACAAAGATTTCATTAGAACTACTAGGATGTTTGGCCAAAAGTATGTTACCATGTGAGTGACTGAAACAAACTGGTACTGGCTGTTTGTTTCAAAGTGTCAAGGGTAGGCCGTGACACTCAAAGTGTAAAATTTTCCCATTAAACCCTGAGCCTTGAAGAGGTGACCATGTAAGTCACACAGGTGTGTGGGGAAATAAATATGTGTATTGTTTGTTGTCCTACTGTGCATTCTGCTTTCTTGTGTAATGAGGACACACTTTTTAAAATTTCTATATAGGACACAAGCCAGTGACACAGGTAATGTACCAACTTAATGGCAACATAATTGTGTTATTCATACATACAATAAACACCATTTATATTTACATTTTTTTATTAGTGTATTGAGGTATGTTTTGCCTTCTCTAGCAGATGACTTTGTGTGCTTGAGAAATCTTGACCATGGAGGATTGGTAATTAAAACATTTATGTCAGATGTAACATTCACATTACCTTAAATAATCAAACATTTGATGATTATGAATTCCTCTCACTTACTCTACTGTATTTCCTGTTATCCTAAGTTACCTGGAGGTAATGATGAAGTCTACAGTGTGATCACTTCAGTACCTGGTGCTGACTGTTCTCCTGGTGAGCTGCTTTTCACTTCACACCTGAATGTAGCGTACGGCTCTTGTACGGGATGGAGAACAGGTTTTAGTTGTTGGAAACATTTTAACAGTGTGTTCTGTAGTATGACTAATATACTGTAGTTCATTTCAGAAGCTTTTATAATTGTATCACTGAATACGTAAAACATTCATTAAAATTGTTGGTTCTCCTTTCATTTCACAAAAAACCCCACTACCGTTTGTCCCCAAAAGAGGCTTTTGTTTCTACAATATTTAATTACTGAAAACATATTACAGATGTCTAAATTTCGCAGCCATCTTGGTTTGTGGTTCTCTCTTATTCGCAGGTTCTGAGAAATTGAGCAGGCAACAGTCTCAAAATGAGGATGTAAGTGAAACATGTGGCACAGTACTGAATATGTTTGCTATATATGTTTATAGATGTGACACATTTAAAGAGCTCTTACCGTTAATGTCTTTCTTTTCTAGTCTGACATATACCATGTGTATGCCACCATCTCTGAGGAGCCACCTGCATCAGCCCTGAATGTCATGGTGTACAGCACCCTGCAGGCACATTGAAAAACATTTTGTTATACTGTATAGAGAATTTCTAAAATTGTATTTTATGTTAAATGCCTTGGTTATTTGTCATTTCTCTGTAAGCAAAGCACAGTAACTGTCTGTGTTTCTGCAGTATTGAAATAAAAATAGGCAGTGAACTACTCCACTGCACTGCACTCTGCTGGTGGACTAGAGCCATGACGGTGACGGGTCTAAGAGGCTGAATTTTCTAGCTTAATTCTGAGAGTTGGGGCTTTAAAGTGGGGCAAAATAGCCCATTATTGTTTACACATTTTTGTGAACACAAAAGCATATCCCTATTTCTGTCAGTTTGCTTAAGGACAACATTTTCCTTTTATCAGTGAAGTGGCAGGTGACAACAATCTCTGAACTGGTGGTCATCTCAGATGCATTGAAAGACATGGAACCGTGTGCTGTGGTCAGATGAGTCCACATTTGTGCTTGTTTTAGGCAAAAACAGATGATAAGCTCTCAATGCCAAAGACCATCCAGATTGTTATCAGCGAAAGGTGCAAAAGCCAGCATCTGTGTTGTGATGTTATGAGGGTGCATCAGTGCCCAAGGCAACCAGTGAGTTGCATGTCACTGGTTGAAAGTACCATAGATGCAGAGGCCTTTACTGGGATTTTAATAGAGACATACTTTATGTTGCCATCAAGGCGATGTCTCTTCCCGGACACCCATGCTTACTTCAGCAGGACAATAGGCCTCATTTAGCACAGGCTCCAACAGCTTGGCTTCATAAACACAGAGTGCCTTTGCTTGATTTGCCTGCTGCCAGTCCAGATCTGTCTCTTATTGAAAATGTATGGCTTATCATGAGGAGGAGAATCAGACAACAGCAACGACAGACTGGTGAGAAGCTGAAGTTTTGTATAAAACAAGAATAGACAAAAATTCCAATTTCAAAATTGGCACAAACAATATCTTCACTTCCCAAATAATTAGAAAGTGTTATTAAAAGGAAAGAGGATTTAACATCATGGTAAACATGCCTCTGTCCCAAGTGTGTTGCAGGCATGCAATTCTAACTTTTATATTTACAATATAAAATTAGCTGGTCAGTAAAACTATTGAAAATATTTGTACTTTTTAAATAAAGGTTCATTTGAATTTACAAATCCCAGTATTTTGTGTTCTGGAAAATATCCCAGCTTTTTTGGGGGGGGTTGTAAATATCCACTACTGTGATGTGATTGCTACTTGTCTGTGTGTTAACAATGAGGCTCGCAGGTGGCAAGTAGCTTAGTTTAGAATTGAGACTGAGCCTTAAGCCAGAGTTAGTGTGTTAGTTATGTGTTAACTCTCACCAAGAAAGCGGTTATGCATACAGAACTGTACCACATGTAGTGGGACATTCTAGTTTCTATGCGGCCTTTCTGTTCGTGAGATTCAGCTCTGATGCTAGCTGTGGTTTTTCCGAGATCCAGTTCTGCAAAATGACACTTCTGTTTGTCAAAATTCACATAGTCAGACACAAGTTTGGTCTTTAAAAGCTTATTGAACATCAACATTATTCAGCTCCATCATGACTGGAGACCTGCTGTTAATCGTCCTCATGTGTAAGTTAAACTTCTCGTCATTTTATTTTGTTGTAAATGTAGTTACAGGTGCATTTTATTTGCAAGCACCAGATTAATTAATTAAGTGATGTCAACTCATTATGTTTTAGCATCAGGATGTTTTATTTCACTTTAACATTAGGGAAGAGAAATACAACATTAACATTAAGAATTTACTGTTTACTACATCTGTTTCCCTTGTTAACACATATTTTTCTCCAACAGATTCCTTTTCTGAGATGAAAGCACAAGGTCAGTCCCTGAGTTTAATATTAGTTTTCATAGCCAGGTGTACTGTTATCACAGTATAGATAGTTTAATTTGCAATTAATTTGACTATTTGTACACATCCTTTGGCTGTGGAGTACATTCACAATTGCTCCTTAAGAATTGTATTATCTTAATGCAGTGATTAAGTATTTGAAGTAACATATGTTTACCAAATTTTCAGCTCTTCTTCCACCAAGACTGACAGTGAATCCATCAGTGATCACAGAGACAGACTCAGTCATCTGTTTCTATGTCTGAGTGTTATTTCTGCACTATAAGAGAAGGACCTGCCAAAAGGTTCTCTTGTCTGCAGACACTGACAGGAACCGAACTGCTGAAGATAACAAATCAAAGTTCACCTGCTGAGGTTAAAGTGACATGTTTTTACCTTTACGTCTCTTCATCTCCTGACAGTGACGTGTCCTCCATCATTGTCAGAAGTGAGTGAACATTGCTGCTATGTAGTATTATTTTAATAACTTGCTACAGTATCAACACAAACAATTGCAAATTTCAGTAATTTACTGTAATCCAACACGTGCTTACATTTTCAGCTTCTCTTCCACCTAAACTGACAGTGAATCCACTGGTGATCACATAGACAGAGTCACTCACAATGAATTGTCAGACTCCATCATCTGTTTCTGAGTCTCAGTGTTTTTTCTACACTTTAAGTGGAGGAACTGTCAGTGACTCCTCTTGTCTGAAGACACTGACAGGAACTGAGCTGCTGAAGACGTCAAATCAGAGTTCACCTGCTGAGGTTAAAGTGTTGTGTTTTTACACTGTAAAGCCGGGAGAGTTAGATTCTCCATCTCCACACAGTGACACATCCTCCATCACCATACACAGTGAGTGACTGTTTCTCCCATCGACTGATAGTATCGTGTCTTGATACAGTATTGACTACAGTGGTGTGTTGTAATATTCCAGCAGGATAGAACATTATTAATGAATTTTCAACATTCAACATTTTTGCAGGTCAAAAACCACAAATGAGTGTTAAGCATTTTCGTGGTGACTATGTTGTCTGTGCTTGCTTTGTGGCTGTGCTTTGCCTAGGTTCCAGTGTTCGCACACCTAGCACTAAAGATAGCCCTTTTCCTGTAAGCACTCCGAATAAAGCTTCAGGTGAGTACAATATGTATAATTCATTGCCACTTGAATTCAGTGGTAAGGGTTAAGTTATGTTTACAACCTACTTTACTCAGTAACTTTATATAATTTACTCATTTGGTAGACACTTTTATCCAAAACGACTTACATTTTAGGAACAATATAGAAGCATCAATGCAGAAATCTACGAGCACAATAAATGCATGTTAGAGGTTAGAGTAGTTATAAGAGGAATTGTTCTCAAAAGATGTGTTTTCCAGAGCTTCTCGATGTTAGAGAGGGATACCCCTGCTCTGATGATATGTGGTAGCTCGTTCCACCATCGTGGTGTCACAAATGAGAACACCCTGAGAGGACTGAGATTGCTTTGTGTGTAGGCATCATAGAGCCAGCCGACGTTCATTAGAGGAGCGCAGTGGCCGAGAAGGAGCGCAAGCTTGTATATGTTTAGGTAGATTGATGTGGACCTAGTAGTCACTCTGGATGCAAGCATTTGTGACTTGAATTTAATTCGGGAGGCCATGGGGAGCCAGTGAGGTCCCTGAGTAATGGAGTGGAATGAGTTCTTTTGGGCTGCTGCGTTCTGAACCATTCTTAGAGGTTTCACCACACATGCTGGAATACCATCTAGGAGGGCACTGCAATAGCTGAGGCTAGAGATAACCATGACCTGTACCAGAACCTAGGTGGCGTACCGAGAAAGGTAGGGCCTGATTTTTCTTTTGTTGTATAGAGCAAAGCGACACGTCTGAGAGACAGCAGCAACATGGTCTGAAAAGGACAGCTGGTCATCAATCATGACACCCAAGTTTCTCACCACCCCTGGTTAGAGTGATGGTTGTGGGGCCAATTTTTAGTTTGATGTTATGATGAGTAGATTACTTGGCTGGGATGACCAAGAGTTCAGTCTTAGAGAGGTTTAGCTGAAGGTGGGAAGCCTTCATCCATGGGGACATTTCTGAGAGACAGCCTGTGATCTGCACTGAGATGATGGGGTCGTCTGACGGGACGGACAGGTAGAGTTGTAAATGTTTCTTGATTCAATAATCTTTTCTCTATATTGAATAGCCTACTGTTTTACAAAGTAGTCACTTACAAATGCAACAACAATTAAACCAACAGAATCACAAAATCTTTTCATCACTGCCACATCCTTCAGAAATATAACCTCCTAAGTTTTGAAAATTTTAAATTAATAAGTGAATACATATTTTCTGGAAAAACTCCTAAAATAACATCAGGAATAACTCCTCAACCATTTGGGCTAGATGCATAATTCTGGTCTCATTTGAAAAGACAGACACTAAGGATATGAATCAACAAAATTAACCTGTTTATTTTTCTATCAAAGAGTAAATGGAGATGCAGTAAAGGAAAATATGATATTTTCATCCTTGCCTGGTATAAAATTTTAATAGCAACATTACCATCAAAACCATCAACCAATATAATGCAACTGAATATCTTCTAATACACCTGGAATACAACTATAACTGTAAATTTGATGAAAAGAAACTAATATACATAAACAGTTATTAGTTTCAGTTAATAGTTTCCCTGGTATAGGGAGTTTTCTTCAAAACACTATTTCTGTCCATACAACCACGTTCCAAAAACCATAAAGCTTCCAAAATATTGAAATATTGATAAAAACAGTGAATATTGATCAACATTCCTTTCTTTGTATTGAAGAGACGAATCATTTGATATATTGGATGTCTGTGTAGCTCCTGCGAGTTGGCCACTTCTTCTCTCCATCATTTTGATCAGAGAAACGAAACCTAAGAGCAGATACTGTGCAATACCAAGATGGCGGCCCGCGGTGATCTTTACACACACAGAAAACAGCTGTGTTGGACTGAAAACAGCAGTTGTAACTGTATATGTATATTGATGCATTTGTTATTATTATCCAGCTAATGACTCTGTAAGTTTAGTGATTTGAGTGATATGAGTTACACAGCTGATCAGAGCTGGAGCTGAGCTTTCTTTAGAGTGGTTGGACTGCGGTGTAGGGTGAGATGAGAGATATCTGGATGGAACTGCAGCCATGTACAGTGATTACATAGCGATTTATGTTGTGATATAAGCTCATTTAGATGCTTGGTGTTTGATTTGTGTTTGGTGTAAATAAAATGGTTGGTTTGAGCTTCTAGATGAGCCTCCTAGCTTCACTGAGGTGTGTGGCATGCATAGGGTGACAAAATACTAAGATCTTCCATGGATTTCTCTTTTGCATTTTCTGTGAAAATCGATCGTCCTACCTGATACCGGGCAGGTCTGCTTATTAAACTGTAATCCACCAGTAGTGGCAGACCTGTAAAGAGGACCTCTAGAGGAGACTGTGTGGTAGCTTATAGACGCACAACATTTGGACAAACTGTATTGTCACTTAAGGGTAATGAGATCTGGAACAACTTACCGGCTGTAGTAAGGGACTGCCCCACTTATCCCACATTCAAGACTCATCTTAAAGACGAGATGAAACTAACACTTGTTTATGCCTTCTGTTGTTGCAAAGCAGATATATGGAAGTTTGTAGTAATTGCGGCTGAATGCGGAGTATCTGTGTGTGTCATCTTGCTGGTTTCTGCAATTCTCTGGAGCAAACGAAAAGCTGGTGAGAACTTTGTTGATTTGTTTGTCTAATAAAGTCACACATAAGTTTAATACTGAAGTCTCTAAATCCCCTTTAAGAATTTGTCTGATAATTAAATGTATGCATGTATTTTATCATAATCAGTGCATCTTGAGATTTTCTTAGTTTGAGGGTTAAAATAATAAAACACCACAAATAAAAGTTACTAATTCACTCAGAGACACGAACCAGTTGGCCATTTAAAGCAAACATGAGAGTACCATCAAAATGTCTTTGGGAAGTGTCAGGTTATTACAACTGCAATAATAGCCACACCGCTGGTGGTGATACATGAATGAAACAGATGCCAGCCAGCCAATGCAAACTCCATTAAGATGGGCCACACATTTGTTCTGTAAACACATTCTGGTTTGCATCCTAAAAGCCATTTGCAGTTTCTAGGAATTATTTGACGCAACTTCATATTTTTCAGTTGAGTTTACATTGCTCACAGATACTGAATAGAACAAACATGGACCTGTATCTCAAACTGAAAGTATTTGCGTCCAAGTCCATCACTACACTCAGATAAAAATAACCTCCTTTGCTGGAGTCTGACACAGTTTTTCACATGTGAGCAAAATATTGTTTGAGAAGGGATGGTATAGACTTGTTCTTTTAATTTAAGCTTAGAGATGAACTTGAAAGTGTCATGCTGTTCATGATGGACAAATGACAATCATTCTGTGATGATCAAATTCTTGAATCGAATCAGCTGGACTGAAAACTTATTTTACTCAGTGAAACTTATTATTTGATATACAGACAGTATATTGGAATAATGAAGCTTCAACTTGGTGTAAACACGTGTTGTGACTCTGAACATCATCCACAGTGGGACTCTGATAAAGGAGTTGACACAGAGGCAGTGAAGTAGGTTTTCAAACTTTATCTAGCAGTTGGAGTGATGGTACAAATATTTTTGAGATGTGTAATCTTGATGAACACACACAGAATGTTCGTAATAGCTTACCGCTGGCAACATCCTCCGGAGCAAACAGCTATTAATAAGGACCATTGCACAGGCAGCAGTTACATAACTGTTTGTTTCTTCCTCTCTAGCAGGTTCTGTAGAAGGGAAAAGGCGACAGCCTCAAAATGAGAATGTAGGTTTGACACACATTAAATATATTTGTGATATATAAATATATACAAATGCTACAGTTGTCAAAGGAATGTTAAAATCAAGGACAACTGGATTTGGTTGAAGATATTTGAGTATCTTCAACCATGTCCAGGTGCCCTTGACTTTAACCGTCCTTGGATAACTATGACCTGGATGGCTGAGAATCTTCAAAGACATCATGCAGGTTTCTTTCTTTTCACAGTCTGACACATTCCATACGTACTGCACCCTCTCATGGAGCCAACAGCTTCAGCCCTGAAGGGTATGGTGTACAACATCATGCAGCCACGCTTACATGCAAACTGTTTTATACTGTAAAGAGAAATGCAAACCTTGTGTTTAAACTTGACTAGACTAATGTAAGATTACTGTAAGATTACATTTTCAGATGAACAAACTAACTAACTAACTAAGATTAAACTAAATGTTTACCAGTCTTCCAGATTTTACAGCCAGATCCTGTTTTCAAAGTGTGGTTTATGACAAACAAAGCACAGCAACCAATCCGCCTTATATTTCAGCTTTCTTTAAATTAACATTGGAAATTAGTTTAGTTTTTATAGTTATATACATAACTAAAGCAAAAGTCCACATTACTCTCGTTTTCATTTTTTGTTATTTTGTTTTCTATTTAATGTTGATCATAGTTTTTTTGTAATTGCATATATTTTGTAATAATGATGAGACTTCTGTGACTATGCACTGTAAATAAATGTACAAGCTTTTACAATGTACTGCACTCCACATACTGTGTATGTTTTATATAATAAACATGTTAAACATATACAACAATACCACGCTTTGAATTACTTTGTATTATTATATTTAGTATAAACCCATGAATATGCATTATTGTTTTTTGGTCAGGCTCATTAATTGTTCCATGTCAGGCATTATAATTCACCCTGACCTTACTTCACCCCCAATTTTTTGATTATTTACATACTGGGGACTTTAATCTCCATATGGAAGATGAGTTTCCACAATGATCATGAAGGTAACCTACTCTAGAGTATACAGTAGGCTATATAGCATATATTATATGCTACAATATAGTATAGAATTGTGAGTATTTATAGTATATAGTTTAGAGAATATTAGAGATCCAAAATATAACTGACAGAAGGGCAGGACTCAGGAAAAGTCCACTATTACAAAGCCGTCTGCTACTTTAGCACCACGGACACCGCCATGGTTTTATCAATACACTTCACAGTTGGGCTACTGATATTTCAGAGCCATGGTCGGGGC